TACAGTTGAGCCAGGCCACTGAGCCACCATCTTAGTGAGCTGAATTTTCACATTGATAGAACGGACATCTTTGCAATGAACAAAGAAACAAATTCATCTCCATGGCAAGGTGTGTTCAGGCGATTGCTTCGATCACATTGGGGGAAAGTGTCTCTTGCTGCAAATTGCACTTTAATGTAGGCCTGTTCAACAGCATTGTATGGGTACTTGTATGTACAGTACATGGATGATACTTGAATGTTCCATAAACTTCAGACCCACACAATTGGCATGGCTCAGTTCAACTGGCCAAACACCTTTGAATGCACCAGTGTGGGCACCGACAAATAAATTTGTCAAAAAAAAAAAAAAATTCTTACACAGTGTAACACAACACAAACAATTCATTTTATACTTTTGTGTTTTTCACAACACAAACAATTCATTTTATACTTGTGTTTTTTTTTTCAGTCAGTTCAGTTGAAAACCTTGTGTCGTGGACATAGCGGTTTTAACTCATGTTCTGACTGAGCTTACAATGGCAAAGCTGGGGTTTTTTTTTTTTTTTATTTTACATGAACTTAAAGCACATATAATTACATCACCACATGTTCATGTTGCGTTCAAACCCCAGACAGGGAAGAACTGCCATTTTGGTTTTCCAACATTTGACCCTTTAAAGTTTGGTTTAAAGGGTTTGTTTAAAGAAAAAACTCTGACCACGACGTGATTTAAGTTAAAGGTGTGTTAATCTGTTTTTGTTATTTCTGCTTCACTGAGGCGAGTGGGTGTGTTTATCTCAGTGTCCTCGTGTTTGAATCTGTTTTCGTGGTCCCTGGAGCTGTCTGACCGATGAAGCCACAGTTGTGCTGCCTGTGGTTTCTTAACTGGAGTGTGAAGGCGCAGCAGCAGTTTTTACTCTGGGTTTTACGTGCATGATGCACAACAGCACGCCAGTAAGAGCCCCCTCCCCCCCCAAAAAAATAGCACATTCTCTATAACGAAGGAAAATAATTTAAGGGCACCCCAGTTTGTTCCATCACATTAACAATTTGCATTTTCAACCTGGCTTTAGGAACAGTACTACTACTACAACAGTACTGCTACTACGGAACAGTACTACTACTACAACAGTACTTACTTACGGTAATCCGTGCAAAGAAATAGAAATTGTTATTTCGGGAATTTGTCCAATATCCGCCGATATTGTCCAAACACTTAATTTCCAATTCCGATATATGCAGCTGTTTGCCCCCAAAACTGGGGTAAACATCTCAGGATCCTACGTGCGATTCCAACAAATTTAGCAAAACCCAGGCTGTTGTGTTATCGGATTTGTTTTATTATTGGACGGGAGAAAAAAAACAATCTTACCACTATATAACATTATTACGCTAACATCGGCCCTTGTAAAGTGCGCTTGTTAAATCTATGTTTTCCCATGAAAAAAGTATAAAGTTAAAGGCACATTTTGTACGTTAATGACATCAACTGGTTTTCTGTGCGAAACAAAATGTGAACATTTTTGCATATCATATCATCGATTGGATTTAAAAGTGCAAAACGGCTACATGAAAATTACACAAAGGTTCCACAAAACTAAAAAATACGTAGGTTATATGTAGAGTTTGAATACTCACAGTTTTTTATGTTAAACTGTTTGTGTTGTAGACATTAGGGATTCATGTTCTGATATTGACAGCTAGCTAGAGCTGGTATCAAATAACGGGACTTGATCCTTGACACTAATTTAATTTGTCACTGCAAAGAACTGAACAACAAAAAAAACTCATTTTGTTTATTTGATTAAGTTATTCTGGACCTTGTTTGTCACAGGTAGCTGAAACTAATCCCTGATGCTAAATTACAGGCATTTTTTCTTGCACCAAGACGTTCTTAGGACTCTTGAGGGACCGGGATCTAAGTGATGCGTCCTCACGGATTATTTCAGATTTGTATTTTAGAGATGCGTCCATATTGAAATAGTCACCGTTAGTAAGGTAATAGCTATAGTTGAGCATATTTGACTTTGAGACTCAGTGTTCACTCCACTGTTTGCTGATGCAAGAGCAGTGACTCACTGCGCTGTTTTCAATTAATTTGAATGGCACTTAACCACTGCATATTCCTCTCTCTGGGAGCTACTGGGAGAGTAAATCACTTTTTATTGCGCGTTGAGTACTCATGTTTCGAGCAGGCAATTGTAGCTCTGTATTTACTGTTCAATGACCTAAATATAGTTCGAAGGGTGATCAAACGGCTGCAAGTACGAATCCCAAACTATGGAAAATTGAGGATACTTTTCACTCACCACTTATCCGAGGCAAGACATTTTACACAATCCCTGTTAGACAAAAACAATGTTTTAATGTTTATAAATGGTCTAGTCTGACTAGTCTAGTCAAATGGTTTAGTCCTGTTATTTTCGGGATGTACGATACTAACGTCAGAACCACGTTGTGAATGTAGATGAGATATTTACATAACAAATGTTATGTTGATATTCAGCATTATTGCAACATTATATCAACTGGTAATTCGTAATTGTAAATTGCAGCGGTGTGCACTCGAGTCTCATGACTTGGACTCGAGTCAGACTCGAGTCATCAATTTGACGACTTTAGACTCGACTTGACCAAATGTAAAGAGACTTGGAACTCGACTTGGACTTTAACGTCAGTGACTCGTGACTTCACTTGGACTCGAGCCCTTTGACTCGACAAGACTTGATACTTTCTCCAAAACCCGAAGATTATAAGTAAGTTATTGAGGAGCGCTGTGTATCTCTCATTGTGTACGTGCGTGCGTCTGTGTGCGTATGTGCTGTCGGGCACAACATCCTATCAAATTAGACCCATGTTGTTTTGTCGCGATAATATCGAGCCAATCAAATTGCGGGACAACCGATGAGAAAGAGCTGTCGAAACAATGCGCGGGTGAGAGAAAAATGATACCAAAGATCGTGTTGTTCGGATTTAAAAACTACGAGATGGTCAACAAAAAACTAGTGGCAGTGAGTTGAAGGACTCGAAAGGACTCGAAAGAGCAACGGCAGGACTTGGGACTTGACTTGACGCTTTTCAGTCTTGACTCGGATTCGACTCGGACTTTGCCTATTTTGACTTGAGACTTGACTCGGACTTGAGTGCAAAGACTTGAGACTTGCTTGTGACTTGCAAAGCAACGACTTGGTCCCACCTCTGGTAAATTGCTGTTTGAAGCTGTTTCATTGCCTGTCTGTAGTTATTTTAAGTATAAATGAAAAGAAAAAACTTTTTTTTTTTTAACACCAGGAAATACTAGTCAATTCAAGTTTTGCATACAGTTATTAAGTAGGGATGGGCGTAGTGGTACGACAGACATAATGAAATAATAACATAATAATGTTACCCTAAATGCAGTGCTTCTCAAACAATGGGGGACAATCACTATTTCAAAGTGAGGTGCGCGAGAGAGGGGACTTTCAGTACACCGTCTTTATTCACGCCCGAACAATAATGTGACAATCCTCCAGTCACTAGATGGCAGCAGCAGGTTGCTGGTGCCAGCAACTCATACAGTGGTTTGTTACAGATAAGTAAATAAATATTACCAGCTCCTCAATACTATTTCATCTCAGGGGGCGGGCATGCAAAACACTTTTGCGGTCCTCTGGGGTAGATTTCGACTACACAACACTCCCCCAAACACCTTCTTCGTAGGTATCCATGAATGTACATACAATAAGGCTTCAAAACGCATAAGAAAACAACTTCTGTCTATACCCCATTACACTTGGTGGAAGCTAATGAAGCACAAAAACATATAAAAACGAGGCTGATGAAAAATGTTTACCACCCCAGTTTAATAAAGTCAAGTGATGAAGTTCATGGCATGTCTTAATTGGACCCATATGTCTCCTCTGGAGAACTTTTTTTTTTTTCTAAACACGTTTTTTTTAGACGTAGTAAGTATTTGTGGCAGCTTGTGTAATCGTGCCTAACAGTAGGAGTGCACTTTATGTAGTTCCTTATACTCACTCTATTCAAAGTACAGTACAGTGGAAACTCGGTTGTCGAACGTCTTCCGTTTTGAACAATTACGATTGGTCGATACTTTCTGATTGGTCTTTTTTTTAAAATATATGTATATATGTATATATACCAAAGACTTGGTGGGACCAAGTCGTTGCTTTGCAAGTCACAAGTAAGTCTCAAGTCTTTGCACTCAAGTCCGAGTCAAGTCTCAAGTCAAGACAGGCAAAGTCCGAGTCGAGACTATTTTTTTCTTTTCTTAAATAAACTATGAGAACACACTTGTGAGTTCTGCCTTCGGAAAGGAAGAAAGGAAGCAAGGCAACATAGAGTACTTGCCGAGCGAAATGTTGAAAATGATATTTTTACAGAGCCCCTAATAAGGGCTAATTAATAAACTATCAATTAACTAGAATTTTACTTGCTTAATTCATATATATATATATATATATATATTTAAAATATATATTTAAAATATATATTTAAAATTTCAGCTAATAAAGCTAATAAATTGGCCTAAATGCATACTTGATACAGATGTATTGTTTAATTCGGGGCTGTCAAACTTATGGCACGGGGGCCAAAACAGGCCCGCTAGGTTCAATCCAAACCTACTTGATGAATTTTGAAGATAATAAAACACTTCATTAACATTTCAGGTATAATAGGATTTTTTTTTTTTTTTTGGTAAAATATTTCATTAAATATGAATAAATAATAATAAATATCTAATATGCTTGTACTTGTTTGCATTAAAACAAAGGGAAAAACATTACTTATTTAGAGTTAATTATATTATGATTGTACTGGTTTGGCTAATTAGGTCTAATTAGGTGTCAAAAAAATGTTGAAATTTACATTCCATTTTTTCAGGACATAACTTTTTTATCTGAAATTAACTTAATGTATCTGATAACCCAAATTTTTTTAAAAAAAAGAATTGGACATAATGTGTCATAAAAATGGCCACTGACTGGTACTTTTTCTTTTTTTTTTTACTCTCTGTAGGACCAGGCCAAACATGTTGCGGTCCGTTGTGCTCTTCCTTTTGAGCATGCTGATTGGTCTGTCCTTCTCCTTAAACCCAAGAGACCCAAATGTCTGCAGTCTGTGGGAAAGGTAAGTCGTGATTACCGTAATATCCGGACTATTGAGCGCACCTGAATATAGGCCTCACCCACTATTTTAAAGAAAAACATAATTGTACCGATATAGGCTGCGACTCTCTAAAAGTGAGTCTACCTTGTATCTTGGGATTTTTTTTTTCACTTTTAATTAAATAAATGCTTTTTCTCAAACACAGGGGAGACTTAGTGATCTGCTCCAGGGCTCCACAACAAAACATAAACAGCGTTTTAACACGCTACAACATGACAGGGCTCAAACTGCTCTTAGCTTAACTCTTAACTCGCTACCGTTCTCTCCTCGCCACACAGCCATTCATAGACAGACTTATACTACTAGTATAACACATTGTAGCCTACCAGAATTGATCGCTAGCTGCATGAACTTAGCTGGCCCGCAAAAATCTATAAATCTGCCGCATTATTGTTTAAGCCGAACCATAAGGGGTTCATAAATGTTCATAAATTCATAAATGTTAAACTTGAATGAATTTATGTGAAAAAAAGTAATGGATTATAGTCCGGAAATGACGGTAACTTCAACATACAACCATTATTTTAAATTATATTTTGGTTAAATAATATGCTATATCAGTGGCGCTTTGGCCCAGAGGCAATGTCTCTGTCATTGGTGTGGAACCCCAGGGTTCACCTCCTGGGCAAGTTCGAATCCCGGTTAGGGCGGTTGGTACCTTCCAGTGGACTCACCACCCGCAGGAAGGTTTGGTACGGTGCAATGTGATTTGGGTGGCGACTGCTGCCCCCGCGACCCGGTAACGGATAAGCGGATGAAAATGGATGGATTGATGGATGGATATGCTATATCACAGCATATTTATATATATATACATATAGCACTTCTCTATCATTTCCTCTCCAGTTTCACCACGTCAGTCAAAGAGTCCTTCTTGCATCCTTACGACCAGGTGACAGATGAGCCCTGTTCTGACCCGCCGACCTACAGATGCTTGCGCCACAGGTGATGCCAGCATGATGACTGATTGTCTGTCAAACTGACGTCCTTTTCCAGTCAGTGGAATGTCACAGCACACTTTCCGACTGCTCTCTTTCAGAATCACCTACAAGACAGCCTACAGGCAGGCTGTGAAGACAGACTACCGGAAGAGGTACCAGTGCTGTCCAGGCTATTATGAAAGCAGGGACAAATGTGTCCGTAAGTAACTTCAGAAAAAAAAAAGGATAGTTTTTGACAAATCTTTTGTCATCAAGAAGTGACAGATTTTACATTTTTTTAAATTGTATTAGGAAACAGAATTCTGTGAAATGAGATGGTTCTGGAAATTAGGTATAAATATAATATATATGTAATAATTATATATAAATATATATAAAATATATATAATAATTAGGTATAAATTAGGTATATATTAGGTATAATATTTTTCGCAAATTTAAAAATTGATCAAACAGAGCTTTGCTTTTATATACATCATTTTCTACGCCGTGTATTCGGGAAATGTGGGTATTGCAGGGAAAAGGCAGAATTATAATGATAACATAAATAAATTATATAATTTGGAAAAGTTCGGCAGGCCAGATTAAAAAGCGTAACGGGCCACATCCGGCTCCTGGGCCTTAGTTTGCCCGTACCTGGTCTAACCTAAAGCCAAAAACAGATGTATACAATGTTGTTTTTTTACTTCCTTTATGCATTTTCAACATCTTTTACTACATGACAAATATTTATCCAATGAAATAAAACCCAAATTTCAGTATATTAATTCATTATTATGTTAAATCAGTATCCTTTTTTTCTTATGTAAATATAATTTGGTAGTCCAACTCAAATGCTTATAAAGCTCCGCTGTTGTGTAGATGACTAAAATATGTAGAAGATTTTTTTATGATTGTTTCAGTAGTAAACAAAAGCCACCTTGTGTTAGTGTTTGTTAGTGTTGGTGTGTGTGTGTGTGTATATGAATCATCTTTCTATAAAGTATACTGTTTGTTTTTAAATACATATCATTAGACGTAATTATGCATACCTCCGTTCATTCTATGCAATTCTGTGTTACGTCGCTTTAAAATTTAGGGATAATTGTTGCCAACAGGTCTAAATAGAAGGAAGGGAAATCAGTAGCAGCATGTTTTTGTGTCTTCTGTAGTTGTGTGCATTTACAGCGTACAGACCGTAGTGTCGATGTGGCACATGGTAAGAAAACAACTCGTCTTTTGTTTCTGGCCGAATAGTGATGTAGGAACAACATAGAAATAGGCAATAATAAGACGCATGTCCATTTAAAAAGAAAATTGATGTACATTCGTTAGTTTGTATACTGTGGATACAGTAACAAACAACCTGTGTAATGTAAAAAAAAAAGACCTGTTGCCTAATGCTAAGGTCCTGAAAAAATAATGAATATATACGTATTTGAGTATGTATTATATGTTCCATGGTTGCAAATATATACCTCTCTCCCTCACTCTTTCTGGCTTGACGTTTTTGCTAAGAGTTGGACTTTTCGTGTCCTGGGGATGTAGAAAAGTTTTGGAAAAGTCCATGTTTTTGGAGAAGAGCATGCCTGTAGACTATGCCTTATCCCTGAGAGATTTTGTTGTTGTACTTTAACCCTTTCATGCATGACGGTCACTACAGTGGACAGCTATTAAAATGTCATTTTCTATGATAAGAATAGGTTTTGATGGCAGTGTTGCATATAAGCCGCTACAGTGGATTCTCAGGCGTCCAGTGACATTTTAATAGCTGTCCACTGTAGTGACCGTCATGCATGAAAGGGTTAAATAAACCTGCTGCACCTGGAGAGTCTCCCTTGTGTTGCATATTGTGTCGAAGCTAACTTAATTATCAATCCCAAGCTTTATTGTGTGTGATTAACAGCTCGATGCACTAAGGAATGTGTCCATGGCCGGTGTATCGCTCCAGACCATTGTCAGTGTGAGAAAGGCTGGCGAGGAGACGACTGTTCCAGTGGTAAGCGTTAGCTTTGTACCCTCTTTCCTTTGGCATTGCCACCCTGTCTCTGTATTTGTCCCTTTCACACTTATCGCTGTGTCTCCTCTTCCGTCTTGATCACAGATATTCCTCTTTTTATGATTTTAGGATTATGACTTTTTATGAGAGAGTATGTCTCTCATAGTTTATACAGAAAACCAGAATAGATGACACACTGAATAGCAGAGGTGTGGACTCGAGTCACATGACTTGAACTCGAGTCAGACTCGAGTCATCAATTTGACGACTTTAGACTCGACTTGACCAAATGTAAAGAGACTTGCAACTCGACTTGGACTTTAACATCAATGACTCGTGACTTCACTTGGACTTGAGCCCTTTGACTCGACAAGACTTGATCATTTCTCCAAAACCCAAAGTGATCTGTGTAAATATATTATTATTTTGTTTAAAAGGACTCGAAACAGAAACGTAAGGACTTGGGACTTGACTTGACACTTTTTAGTCTTGACATGAGACTTGACTCGGACTTGAGTGCAAAGACTTGAGACTTACTCATGACTTGCAAAGCAAGGACTTGGTCCCACCTCTGCGTGAATAGCACGAAAACATTCAAGGCTTTGGTAATAAGTCTCTAATGTGAGCAGGCAGAATCAAGGCCAGAACAGTTCCAGTGTTATTGGGAACTCTTTTTCCTGTTTTTTTTTTTTTTAATTATTTCTCTTTTTTTTCCAGCTCCTGTGCTTTATTACAGCACTAGACTGTTTAGTTATATGGTATAGTTAACCACCATAAAACCTTCCTGAAACGACCCTCCCTATTGTGGTCCTGACCACAACAGGGGGTGGGGGGGAGAGGGTTTGGAATTGAACGAGAAGCAGCTGCATTGCAGGCATGAATTCTACCACTGTTTTCACTTCTGCTTCTCAATAGCAGTACAAGTTTGTTTATTACATATAACAACTTTTATTTATAAAAAAAATTAACATTTTTTTAAATACAGTTTTTGAATAGAGCTTTTGAGTGTGGTTTCAGCCTAGAGGGCGCAGTGCCATTTCAAGGTGAACGTAAATGGAATGAACGAATGAAACGTAACGCAGCACATTGTTCAATGCTGTAAATGTTTAACAAGAGGCAGAAAGGGCTGCGTGTAAAACGAATATCTGACAATAATATATCAAAGGAGGCTGTTATTTTTTTAATCCTCGCTCTTTGTTTTTTTTGCTGTCGCACATTCGATCTCCTCAGAGTGCCAGTAGCAGCCCACGGCCCTACACATAAAATCTCAATCCTGTTAACTGACCAAAGTTGGCAGTGCCTGTGGGGTTCTTTCCTGCAATAGTAAGTTAGAAAGTACCGGTAAGTTGGGAGTTTTTTTTTTTTTTAGAAGGTAGAAAGGTAGCGCTTATCTAATCTGGCTTTTCTTTAACTTAGAAGTTGTTACCTTAAAATGAAGACGATTAAAGAAAGAAATGGAAAATGTTTTCCCTCCCTCTGTCTTTGCTAGGCCAGCGTTTCCATCTTTACTTACTCCCACTTTAACTCCCCACCCCCCCCTCACTTCAGTAGATTTCTACTTTTTTTCCCTCTCTTAGTGGTGTTCTTTTTGGCAGAAAAACTGTGGCACTTCCTGGATGCCTGTGTGTTGAGCTGTTTAACTGTGGGAAAGAGAAGGACCAGAGGTTTTAATACTCATCATTCATATCAAATAACTGTTTGCCTACAAAAGTTACAGTTCAAGGAGGGGAGGAGTTGAACAATAATTAGTGTTCAAGAAGGCTGTAAAAAAAAAAGAAAAAAGAAGGGGCCGAGTAGAAGTACAGTACACGAGAAGAAAAAACAAACTTGGACGCTTATCACGTGACAGGTCAATGTTGTTTTGCTTTAAATGCCCTGTGTCAGAGCAGAGATAGATACCCTTCAGTGCAAACAAATTTTAACAACCGGAAAATTTGTGTTAAAAAAAAAAAAAAAACAAGGTTAAGAATGTCTGTTTTTATCTAATGAGATTTCCTTGCATGAACAGGGGTAAAAAGAAGATAGTAAGATATTTCTAAATAACATGAGAGGAACATTTTATACGAATATGGTATAATATTATTGACATGGTAATATTAAATATAATATTTATTTAAATTTTTCACAATTGACTACTATTTCTTCCAGACTATGTCACACTTTTTTTTACCCTTTGGCTGGGTTTGCAACTAATACTGTTGCGACTATAATTTCACATGTTCATTATTTTCACACTGACAGCCGCTAGAGGGCACTCTATTAGCAATGGTGGGGATTAAAAAAAAAAACCCTCACTTTTACCAGGACAAAATCTCCAGATTTCAGTTCCAGACTCAGTGTTGCTGTCTGTCTGAGAACAGGAGTGGACTTACAATACTATTACCGTGTGAATGAACAAATATGAATAATGGTGATTAAATCAGATCACAAGGAAGCCCTGAGGTAAAGACAGTGAGAGGAAAAACATATTGTATGCATTTGTTAAAGGGGAGTTCCACCAGCAGTCTAGGCCTAGCAGCATAAATACAGGATAACTCAGTTTTACCTAAGCTAGCTCTATGGACATATTTTTGTTTTTGACCCAGCTCTAATCTACAATACATGACGGAGCCTGGTGTTTTTGACCCAGCTCTAATCTACAATATATGACGGAGCCTGGTCATGAAGAACCTTATATGTGAGGAGGAGGAGGAGGATTTCAAAGTCTAGCCTAGAGGAGGAGGAGGAGGATTTCAAAGTCTAGCCTATATTTAGATAGAGGCTTGTATGAAATCTGTCTTCATCGGGAGTTGAAATACAAACCCTGTGTGAACCTTCTTCATTAAAGCTCATCTTCCCCATTCTGGAAAAATTAGCCATTTTATGGAGTCTCCAAGCAAAGCTCTCTGTCAATCTTAAATTATTTTTAGGTAACATGACACTTCTGAGCTTAAGGCGTGGGCTCTGTAACAAATTTGTAATGAGCTGAAGAGCAAAGCGTAAGTGTAAACATAACCTGATGATATATAGTGGTTTAATAAAAAAGTTTATTTTGCAAAATATGTGATCATCTGTGAGTTTGAATTTAAAATATTGCAATTTTAAATCAAAACAATAATTGTCTTTAACATCTTGTTTTGATGAATAATTTGCTGATTTAGACAATGTGTTTACTGTAGGAAAAATCTATTGATACTAAATGGAGTTTTTTTTTATAAAAAAAAAAGAAATAGAAAGCCCTTAGACTTACTTTCAGAGTATTGATACAACATTTGTTTTAGACATTTGTGTTCTGATTGTCAGATAAAAATACACTTAAAGTAATGTGTGATGGGGAAAGATTTTCATTCTGTAAGCACTCTGTTGGCACTAAGCCAACACAAAATGATGTTGGTTGCAAATAGAACTGTGTATGAAAGTAATTCTGCATGGAAATTATTTATAACACAAGTGATGTCGTTCAAGCTTATATAAGATTTATTTATTGAAAAATTGAGGGCAAAATAAGATTTATTTATTGAAAAATTGAGGCCAATTTTGCATGTTTTTTCCTTCTCTCCAGATCTGTAAAGTAATGACTTTTTTTCATACGGAAACAAACTTAAGTTTTGCGTAAACATTGGAACAACCAAAAGCTTAATATTATAAACACACGAGAAATTACATTTAGAAATAAAACACACATTAGTGGTATTTGTTTCTTATTATGTCTCTTGATCCGTAGCCATTTGAGTTCTTTTTTAATGTCAATCTTTTTTTCACAGGCCAACAACAACAAAAAAACAAAAAAAACAACAACAAAAATAACAGTGCATACACTGCTATTACTATGAATTCTGCCAATATGTAGGTGCTATATATTGACGTGCCAACTCTAGTACACATTTGATATGATCTTGCGGGCCAAGTATAATCACACCGTGGGCCAAATTTGGCCCCCGAGCCTGAGTTTGTGGTCTGAATTGTGTAAATCGGGATGCCCACACATTTTTGCCTTTAAATGACCAGCCTGATGTGATCTATCAACATTGGATGTGTTAAATATATATTTACACATATAAACGGAACCAACTTTCAATATGCATTATATGACACACTAATTGATTATACCTACATTTTATTTTTCTAATTAAATTGCTCATGATCTACCAACACTCTCCTTGCAACCATCTGGTAGATTCGGTGATACTTATTGGGCAAATAAGTTATTAGTTCCAAGTCTTCTAAGTCTTTTAAACCACACTTTACCTACTGTCTCTGGAAAGGATCTAAATTACTGTGGCAAAGGTATTTTTAAAGCATTTTTCACATTACATGAACTCCTTTTTTGTCGCTGCAAGCTCATGTGTTTTGATTGGTTTATACATTGGGAAAAAATATTTTTGATATACCGTCATTTCCGGTCTGTAAGCCGCTACTTTTTTCACACGCTTTGACCCTCCTTGAACGATGTGGCTAATTTATGGATTTTTACGTGCTAACGAACGTCACTAGCGACCAAACCTTCTGGTAGACTACTGTGTAGAGTATGTTTGTCTGTGAATGGCTGTGTGCGTATATGTGCGTGGGGCGAGTGAGTGAGAGAGAGAGAGAGAGAACGGTAGCAAAAGTTGAGACCAGTTTGTCATGTTGTAGCGTGAGTTGGTTATACAGGAGCTGTAATTTCCGGTCTGTAAGCCGCTACTTTTTTCACACGCTTTGACCCTCCTTGAACGATGTGGCTAATTTATGGATTTTTACGGGCTAACGAACGTCATACCACTAGCGACCAAACTTTCTGGTAGACTACTGTTTGTTATGCTAGTAGAGTATGTCTGTCTGTGAATGGCTGTGTGCGTACATATATTTGCGTGGGACGCGTGTGAGAGAACAGTAGCGAAAGTTGAGACCGGTTTGTCATGTTTAAGTGTGAGTTTGTTATACAGGAGCTGTTAAAACGCAGTTTATGTTCAGCTGTGCTCGGTGTGGCTGATAATGAAGACTTCCAGAAACTTCCCTGTTTCTGTTTACCTCTGTTGCGGACAAGCACAAAGTGAAGGGAGTTAGCCTCGCAGCTAATGTTAGCTTCACTAAGTAGATCACTAAGTCTCCCCTGTGCATTCCAACTATGGTCAAGGCACCGAAGCAGGAAAGAGCTAATGTGTAACCAGTGTCACAGGCGCTGTTCGGAAAAAGCATTTTTTCAGTAAGTAAGTAAAAAAAATCTTTCTCTGTAAATATCCCATTCACAATGTGAATATAGGTACAATTATTGGTGCGGCTTATATCAGGAGCGCTCAATAGTCCGGAAATTACGGTAGTTGTCTTATATTTATCAACAGTAAACAAAAACACTAAATGATTACATTACAGTTACATTTACTACCATGGCTTGTGTTTCAGTTTCTCACCAAAAAATATCTTTTGTCTGTTTTCTTTTTAGCTTGTGACGACACACACTGGGGCCCAGGTTGCAGGCAGCAGTGCAAATGTGAGAACGGAGCTCTGTGTGATCCCATTAAGGGGGCATGTCAATGTCTCCCAGGGTTTATTGGACGGTACTGTGAGGAGATGTGTCCAGCCGGGACCTTTGGAATGGGCTGTCTACAAAGGTGCAAGTGTGGGACTGGAGGAGCCTGTGCTAAGACAACAGGAGAGTGCGTTTGTCGTGACGGATTCACTGGCACATTGTAAGGGACATCGGTTTGCCTTCGTCATTTTTTACATTTATATGAGTGATTCTAGAGAGAGTTAAATTAAGCTAAATCTTAGGTAAGAAGAAAAGTTTTAGGATTGAGATCGATTAAGCATGTCTCGAGCCTTGTCTCGAGTGTGTTGTTGTCGATTTCTTCGCCACTTTGCACGCGGTTTTATGTGCCCCATATAATTGCAAACACGTGGGTGTGTTCATTGTTGTGTGTTCAAGTGTGTCTCTGATGTGCACATCACTTTACTTACTAAATGAAAATTTGAATTTGAAATGTCTTCACAATAGAACAGTGTCCCAGCACCACCTCTAAGTGTCGCCAAAGGCACAATGGCTGTAAAAAAAAAAAACGTGCAAGCACTAGCCATTGAGCTATAAATTGAGCTATTTTTGATACGTTGGAATCAAAAATTCATCATCAAGGGCAACTGGATGGAGTAGGTTTCCGGAAGATGTTTCACCTCTTGTCCAAGATGAGATCTGGCTTCTTCAGAACTGAATGCCTCTTGGATGAGAGGTGAAAGCTCTTCAAGAAACCTACTCCGTCCAGTTGCCCTCGATGTAACTATCTTTGGACTATTGCGGTATATTATTATTTCTAACCCTTTCATGCATGACGGTCACTACAGTGGACAGCTATTAAAATGTCATTTTCTATGATAAGAATAGGTTTTGATGGCAGTGTTGCATATAAGCCTCAACAGTGGACGCCTGAGAATCACCCAACACTGTCATACAGTGGTCAGCCTTTGCAACTGCAGAATAATTGTGTTAACATTCAAAAAGAAAATTGGGTGTATAAAAACAGAACCAAATCAGTTCTTAATTTTATGTCTAAAAACACATAAAAACAAAAAATAAAACATTTTTTTAACTCAGTATATCATGGGTCATGCATCAAAGGGCTAAAATGTAAGGTTGTCAGATACAATTTATACAAAAAAAAATAATGCATGGAAAACAAAATGTTGCAAGAAACATAAACGAATAGCCTTAACATAAGTACTTTGTACAGAATTGCACTTTTGATTTAAAAAAAAAAAACATTAGCTGGTGCAGTAATGCTAATTGTTTCAGTTTTAAATCATATTTTTCTCCACTAGCTGTGAGAAGTCATGTCCCCGGAAATGTCAGGCACGATGCCCCTGCCAAAATGGTGGAATCTGCAGGGGCAAAGGCATCTGTGATTGCCCTCCAGGATGGACGGTAGATTTGAGTTTAAGTTTGACCAAACACCATAAAAATATATATATAATATAATATATAAACCCTGTCCCTGTCATTGCAGGGTGCAGTGTGCACAGAGCGATGTCCAGAAGGCAGGTTTGGACCCAACTGTGCAGAGGAGTGCTTTTGCCATAACAAAGGAAAGTGTGACCCTGAAAGTGGACAGTGTGAGTGTGCTAAAGGTTTCACAGGAAACAGGTGGGCATCACGCATCACACAAGTATGTGTAGTATTCACAGAATTTGACATCAGTAAAAAGGAAAAAAAAAAAGCGATACAAGAAATGAAGGAAGAATATTTGCTGCAGCTGGTAATGGGATAGTAACGGTTCCTTGTTTTTTTGGAGGATGTGAGAATCGTGTAGGTTTATTTTTGCATGCGACTAAACAATGGTAGTAGCAACTACACGCAACCACATAAAGAACATCAGTTCAGAAAGGATGTATGAAAATACACTTAGGAATAAAACATTTCCAAACCTTCATGTAGGGCAGTTGGTGACTTCTTCTACGTCTTCTACAACTACCATATTTTCACTCTTCGCACTTTGCACTTTTTTAAAATTCTTTGGCTGGGTTTGCGACTTATACTCGGTGCGACTTATATATTAAAATATATAAGTTATTTTCACACCGACAGCCGCTAGAGGGCACCCTAGACCTGTGTACCAGTATTTGCTACTCCTGTACCTCTGCAAATTAACGTCATGTCTGGGAAAAAAAAATGTCCATAAAATATTGTGACAGCTACAGAAAACTGTCCCATTCATGTTAATGTAATGACAAGTTAGCTGTCTGTTATTTTTTACATTAAAATTCCTTTGGCTGGGTTTGCGACTTACACTCGGTGCCACTTATATATTTAAAATATATAACGACAGCCTCTAGAGGGCACTCTAGGCTTGTGTACCAGTATCTTCTACTCCTGTACCACTCTTGTACGACTTATACTCCAGGTGCGATTCATATATACTCTTTCCTTCTTCATTACGCATTTTTAGGCTGGTGCGACTTATACTCCAGAAATTACGGTACACGGTAATTATTAGTGCGTTCCTGTTCTAACAACTCCTTTCTTATTGTCATTCATGTGAATGTCTGTCCTGTCGTATTTATGGCAACGTTTTTTTATTCACTTCAGGCTGAGAATGTTCACTCAACCGAAGCGGTGGACAAAGAGAAATTCTTAAGCTAGCAAAACACTGGATGTATTTTGTTTGATTTAAGATGGTCAAATCACTCAAATCGTACATATATATGTACAGTATAATATATAGCAATATATATATCCACCAAGCTGTAGAGTAGACAACTGTAATCTTCTGAGGTTTAATACCAGCCACACCAAGGCGTGTTCAGTTTATAGAGGTTATTTTTATTTTTCCTTCCAAAAGCAGGAATCCTGCGTGGTGAGATCAAAGGTCTTTTTTTTTTAAGCTGGGTGAGGTTAAGAGAGAGAGTGAGCGAGAGAGAGAGAGAGCGAGAGAGAGAGAGAGAGTAAGCATGGTTGCAGGTGGAGACTCCAGGAAGCAGGAAAACAGGAAACACAAACAAAGATGTTTATTTATTTATATATCTAAAATGTTGTACATGAACCTGATTACGCTGTCATTTAAGAAGTTGAAAAACTACTCACTCTCCGACATCATAGTCAGTAGAGAAGTTCAGTTTTAATAATATGTGACTTCACCGATTTTAAATGTAACCTCAGTGACACAGAGTGACCACAGGAGGCAGCAGTGAGGTCAATTGTTTTTGTGAACCATCTAGGGACAACTCAAATACAAATCTTAAAGGTTCACGAGGACATTTTTAATGAGTCAGGGGTCTAGGGGGAGACAAAGGGGGCGGGGGGGGGGGGGA